AGTCGATCATCAGATTTTGTCAAAGATTAACCTTCGGGGTGAATATAGCTTGCTAACAGCCTCGCACCGAAGACCTACCCACGTCATCATTTACCCAGAATGCTTTGCTTGTAAATAAAATGGCTCCGTCCATGTTAAAACATGTTTTTTAAAAAAAATTACAAAACTAAACAGCCTACAGCATTTTTACAGTCTTTATTTTACAGTTAAAATAAATGATTATCAAATAAAGTCTAATGTTACAACTAATCGGGGATCCCTTTAAAACACTTGCAAACAAAAACCAAACTCTTCTTAACCACTATGGTGGAATATCTGGTTCAGCACTCAAGTGGTTCACGTCCTACTTGACCAATAGAACTTTCTCTGTCATGATTTGTCTCCTACTTATTCTACTCCTTGTGGTGTGCCACAGGGCTGTATTCTTGGTTCTGTCTTTTTCTCTGTGTATATGCTGCCACTCAGATCAGTTATTGCCAAACACCACTTTTTTTTCACTGTTATGCAGACAAATTGTTTGCTCATGAAGCCTATTTGTAGTAACCTTCAAGCTTGTTTTCTTGAGTGTATTGCCAACATTAAACAGTAGCTTCACCAAAATTTTCTGTTTTTAAATGAATGGGGTATTTTTTTTTTTGGTGATGATGCTCCCTGTAACTTTGGTTATAAAGCCACAATTTTAAAACTTGTGTGTCACTTCTGACAAGGATTTGAAGTTTGAGAAACATGTAGCCTCTGTAGTCAAGGCCAGCTTTTTAATGATGTCTAGCCAAGGTCAAGCCTTTTTTTAGAGGCTGCAGCAGACTTTAACCTTCATTTTATGGAGGTTCACCTTCCATTAGGACAACGATCTGAAACATGAATACATAGTCACGCTGYGTGACATTTTTTGTCATGTGACAAAAATGTAGAAAAGTTAAAGGGGTCTGAAAACTTTAAGGAACTGTAAGTTGATCTTGTTTTGTCTCTTTATTATGTAATCCATACACTTTCATTTTCAGTGAATGTAAAAACCATGAACATTTACTTCACAGAATAAAAACGGTGGTGACACAGTGACAGATTTTAGCCAAAAACATTTACATGATGGAACCATACCCMCCATAGCAGACAGGTATGGACCAGATCTGGTGTCAAGCAGGCACTGCTGGCTTTGTAAGTGGTTTGTCAACTAGATGTGGGCAAGGTCTGACAATAATTGCACTGGTTTTAAGATGGCATGCCACACTGGCCAGGTTGTGGTTTGGTTTATATGGTCCTGGCCTATGCATGGAACACCTTTGGCAAACCACATTTGAGCCACCGAAGGGCTTGACATTTTTCTGCAGTATCTGTGTGGGTCAGAACTGGTCCAGACAAATTTTGCTATGTGGGTAATGTATGTATTTCCACCTTCTTTCTGTATTTTGGTAGCTGTTTATTGAACCACTGCATAAACTGTGGCTTAAAGAGTCTTTCTACAAACTGTTACACAAACATGGAAAAACTGGAAAGTCCATTGATTAAGCAACATAAAAAATACTGATCCTGAAATTAGACTAGGCTAATCTGATATCCTGAGCAAATAAAAMCAWCTAAATCTTGAGTTGTTTGGGTGATCAAGACTTCCAGAAAATGTAACCGTAAAACATTTTGGTGTTTACTTTTTGACCATTTGAAACCATTGTACTCATCACGTTGAATAAGGAAAGCCTTCATGGAGATGAGGAGACTTAAAAGGGCTCCTCTCAGCTGTGCATGTAGGACCTGCAGGGAGAGTCAGGATGGAAGTCGTATTTGCTCACACATGGAGGGTAGTAGGTGGTTGTGAACATGTTACTGGAGGCCAGCTGGGAGGAGAAGTGGTTGCACGTCTCATCGTTTACATGGAGATTGTTCTTGTTGAGTGTCTGCAGATCAAAGAAACGTTTCAYCAAAGATAAAATTATATTTTCAAACCTAATAAAGCACTGACGTAGCTGACCTTAAACTCCATGGGGATGTATTTCTCGTTCTTTGGTGTGGCATTGCCCTGCTTGTTGTAGGTGAGATGGTTGGGCGTGCTGGGGTGGATGACCCCGGACTCTGCTGATGGACGGTTCAGGTGGTGGCAGTAAGAGAAAGCCAGTCCAGAGAGGAGAGCTGCAGCGAAGAAGCTGGCTGAGCCCACAGCCACTAACTGAAACAAAGTGAATGCTACAAACGGGGGAGAAGAAAGCAGAAAAGCATTGTAAAACAGTGACATGGAAAAAATGTGAAAGTTGTGTTGACGTTCTGCAGAGGCCTGTTAGTCACTCACTCATTCAACTCAGGTGTGTTGGAGAAGACAAACATCTAAAACATACAGAAAAGTGGCCCTCAACGAACAGGGTTGGACACTCCAGCTTTGGTTACTGTTAAGATGCTGCTAAGATATGAAGTCAAGCCTACTGTGGGTACTTAAAATTTGTTTAGAGCTACAGTAAAGAAGAGGAAAAAGACCTAAATCATKATACTGTTTGAAGACCTGGATAAAAATATATTTTTAAGTTGACGTAACTGCAACGTTACTTTATCAAAACATTGATTCTTCAGTGGAGCCGACTACTAATTCACAAAAGCCAGCATTCTTTCAACTGTGTGCAACAAAGAAGAAAAATAACGTTGTTATTACAGCTGGTAAAATAAGTATTGAACACGTCACCATTTTTCTCAGTAAATATATTACTAGAGGTGCTAATGACATGAAATTTTCACCAGATGTTGGTAACAACCCAAGTGATCCATACATACAAAGAAATCAAACCATAAATGTCCAGAAATGAAGTTATTTGTAATAATGTGGAATGGCACAGGGAAAAAGTATTGAACACACTTACTGAAATGTATCTAATACTTTGTACAAAAGCCATTGTTGTCAATGACAGCTTCAAGACGCCTCCTGTATGGAGAAACTAGTGACATGCATTGCTCAGGTGTGATTTTGGCCCATTCTTCCACAAACAGTCTTCAAATCTTGAAGGTTTCGTGGACCTCTTCTATGAACTCTGATCTGTATGTTTGTCTTTGTGTTTGTGTGTGTAYGTGCTTTTGCTACCTGGCGGAAACAAATTTTTACCACTTTCCCAGTATACACAGCCTGATGAAGACCCACAGTTCCTTATGGGGACAAAAGCCTGGTCCCCGTTKGGGGAAATACCGTTGGCGAGTCAGGGGTTCGATCTGGGACTATGGTGTGACTTGATTTAGGTCTAGTGTTAGGTATGTACTGAGGTGGTTAGGGTTAGGCCGTAGAAATGATGGGTAAATGAACGTAAGTCAACGCTAAGTCCCTATGAAGATAGAAGACCAAACATGTGTGCGTGTGGACACATATTTGCTACATCATTGGAACCATTTTCAGGAAAAATGCAGCCTTGTGGGGACCAAATGTACATCGTGGGGACCAAATGTGCATCCCACATCCCCACAACTTCGGAAGCTGATTTTGGGTGGAGGGGTGGTGGTTTGGGTTTAGGACCAAAGTGTGAATTGAGTTTAGGTTAGTTTTAGGGTCAGGTAGGTACCTGTGAGGTTAATTTTAGGGTAAATGGTCAGGGTTAGGATATAAAATTACCAGTGTGTGTGTGCGTGTATGGACGGGTTTTTTCTACAATGTGGGGACAATTTTCCCAAAAAAAAGAAGCAGCCTTGTGGAGACCAAAATGAACCGTGGGGACTAATGCCAGATCTCCACGGGTCCAAATGCAAATTATGGGTGTGGGGTTAGGTTTAGGACCAAGGTTTTGGTTAGTTTTAGGGTCAGGTAAGTTTCTGTGAGGTTAATTTTAGAGTATATGGTCAGGGTTAGACTTTAAAGTCTAAAAAACATGAATGGAAGTCAATGGAAGGTCCCCATGAGATCAAGAAACAAATGTTTGTTTGTGTGTGTGTGTGTGTGTGTGTGTGTGTGTGTGTGTGTGTGTGTGTGTGTGTGTGTGTGT